ACAAAGACAGCGCTGAAATAACAAGTTTATAATTGTTCTGGTAGTTAAAACACAAAGATAGCGCTGAAAGTACAAGTTTATAATTGTTCTGGTAGTTAAAACACAAAGATAGCGCTGAAAGTACAAGTTTATAATTGTTCTTGTAGCTAAAACACAAAGCGCTGAAAGTACAAGTTTATAATTGTTCCAGTAGCTAAAACACAAAGATAGCGCTGAAAGTACAGGTTTATAATTGTTCTTGTAGCTAAAACACAAAGCGCTGAAATAACAAGTTTATAATTGTTCTGGTAGTTAAAACACATTGATAGCGCTGAAAGTACAAGTTTATAATTGTTCTGGTAGCTAAAACATAAAGGCAGTGCTAAAAGTACAAGTTTATAATTTTTATGGTGGCTAAAACATAAAGACAGTAGTGAAAGCTAGAACACTGCGCAACTTCTTAAAGCTATAATAAAAAAATAGTGCTGAAAGCTAGAACATTAAAATTGTACTGAAAGTAAAAGTTTATACTTGTTTTGAGAGCTACATTTCTAAGCCTGTGATATAAGCTAAAACAAATTGTTACTTCTGAATTCCAAAATATTAAGCTAATGTTTTTAGATTCAGTGATTATCTTTTTTTAACTCATCATTATCGTTTTTTTCTCAATAAATTTAGATCCAAAGTTGTAGAAACAGAGAGTAAAGGTACAACTGTTACTGATCCAGACCTTATCCCGTTACGTACTCAATCGTTGTGTAAGTCCTCAGATTTGTTGTGTAGCTTAGAAATAGCGAACTATATATATATGATTTTAAATAGATATTATTTAAAATAGTATATTATTATCATAGTTATTAGATTTATCTTTTCAGGTGCATGTTTTCATTGTAGTTTTGCCATAAAAAATGCGAGTAGAAATATTGATATTGGACAAAGCAAAACTCATTGCATTCATACAGTTTTTATAGAAAAGTCTAAGTAATAACTGTGTTATTTAAAACAGTCGTGTCATACTGCTAGCCTGTAAAAAGATTGGACTCTGTTGCTGTGTACAATGATAGACTCTCACGTTGCTAGCCTATAAGAAAGTTAGACACTGTTGTTATGTTCAACAATAGACTCACGTTGCTAGACTATAAGATCGTTAAACAGCATTGTTGGGAATAACGTTAGATTCATGTTGTTGGTCTGTAAGAGGGTTAAACAGCATTGTTGGTACAACGTTAGACTCAAGTTGTTAGTCTGTTAGAGGGTTAAACAGCATTGTTGGGGTACAACGTTGGACTCATGTTGTTAGTCTGTAAGAGGGTTAAGCAGCATTGTTATGCACAACAGTAGACTCACATTGTAAACTTGTAACTATTAATCATTGTTATGTATATTTACATCTCGTATTATTTGTATCTAAACATATTTAAGTAAATTCATATAATTATAATCTTTATTTTGCTTCCACTATAGGAACGTGAATATTTTGAACAATTACCTATCTGTTTCGTTAAGTCTTAATAGGTAAAACATAACAGAAAAATAAAATCTTTATTATTGTCACAGTCCTAGAGTTTAATACGAGAATAAAAATCAACGACTATATAGATTTTAATGCTGTTAAATATCAGAAGTTATATTATTTTAGGAAAAATTATCTCTATCCATCATCGTTTAAATTTTACATTGAAGTGTTATTGAGTCCCTATTTCGTACGTAAATAATTTCAGTTGCAATTACTCCATTAACGGTGGATTCTCCAGTGGTCAAAAATATTAAAGCTTTTACTCAAGTAGAGAAGAAAGTGAGTTTCATAGGAGACGACGAGACCTTAGATAGTAATCCTGCAAGCAACGTAAAACTACGTCCAGAAAATGGGATAACATTTATACAGGTAGGTTAATTTAATTCATAACCTGTAGTTCAAATAACAGTTAAAATTCTACATTTTTTTTATCATAACTGCCCGTTTTAACAGCCTTGGAACCCAGAATTCTGGCGATTTTCTCTAAATGGTACCAGTTGGCCTAATTCTGGTGATTTTATTTAAATGGTGCTACCTGTCAAGAACTTTTTTAGTAGTATATATTAAAGGAAGTTAAATGGGTGTGTTGGGATAAGGATTGTTCTACAGTAGGTGTCTTGAACTGTTGGCAATAAATTCAAAAATAAACGAACAGCACGCACTGCACTTGTTTTCAAAATAATATATATATTCGAACTAGTTAAATGTATGTACAACAAATTCTTTACACTATAGAGATTATAGACATATCATAAACACTATGTAGTTCTCGTCTTCTTGTCAAAGTGTACTCTTGCTGGTTCAATTGCTTTAGAATTTCAGTTGACAAGCCGAACTACTTTTCTCTATTTCTATCACACTAGTATACCGTGTATAATTCAATTACAATTATAGCGTGAGTAACCACAGTTGTATACTGCTCTTCCAGTAATTGTCTGGTCCTCGTACTTCAGATACCGTCTGTTCCTTTAGTCAAAGTGCACTCATGCTGGTTCAATTACTTTAGAACTCATTTTGACGGAATAAACTATAGTTCTTATCTCTTTTAAAACTGTTAATTTTACTCTAAAATTATTGGAAGTTGAGTTTATAATTCATTGATGTTGAGGTTATCTAACGTAGTGTGAAATTTATTGCTGTCAAGGATATCAAGATTTCTAGAAGGCGAGCAGGCAATTACGTTTTAAATATATAAATAGTGTGAGACAAGCGGAAACAGCAGATGAGAAAATAAAGTCATGGGAAGTAGAATTTTGGCCAAGAAAAGATAAGCGTAAAGTTAATTGCTGTAGGAGTGAAAGGCCTAACGGTTAATATAGGCCTAGCGATTAATATGGTTTGCTTTAACTATCTTATTATAAAAACAAAACAACTAAACAATCATGAACAATCACAAACTAATCAATTAATACTACCTACACTAAACAGTTTTTTTGTATCATGACACTACCAGTTGACCGAATTTGTCTAAATGGGTACTAATGGATTAGCATTAAGATAAGTGTACATAGTTTACAGGTCAGTTTGTAGAACAACAGCACGTTACTGTGACTAGGGTTATGAGACAAGAGTTCATAGTATTAAAGATAATCAAATAAGTTCAAGGAAAGGATAGTAAACAAAGTCAGAGGTTGATAGTGAAAAGTTGTATAACCAAGCCTATAGGTATAAATTCGACTAATTAGGCTTAACTATAGCAATGTTGTTACCTTAAACTTATATAATTATAATCGATTGTTCGTTATACATTTCGTATTACCTAATTATTTTAGTGATACAAAAACGTTCAAAACATTGGTTGTTGATTTACTTTGGGCATAGGCTCGTGTTGTGTTACTTTTTTGGTATAGGTTCGTGTTGTGTTACTGTTTGATGTAGGTTCGTGTTTTGATATTTTGAGTTTAGGTTCGCGTTATATTTCTTTGTTAACTTTGAAACTGCACTAAATGGAAGGGAATTAATGGAACTAAAACGTTCTTTACTTGACAAAGAAATTAATTTATGATAATATGAACAGAAATCCTTGTTCTTTTCAAATCTTCAGCTATAGCTCTAAATTATTCTTATAATGAACTGAACATTAAATATTGATAAAGGGTAGAAAATGCTGAGTACGATATTCTGACTCTAATGCATTACTTATAAATAAGGAATCAAATAGTTTCGTCCGTCTGCAGTACTGGATTCACTTCCCCGAGGCTTAGCTTGTAGTTTCTCTTTGATGTCAGTATGTAATATCATCGATTCTATCCACTCGAACATACCTAGATGGAAATAGAAGTGTGGCTGTGAAAGGTGCAGCGGAACTTCCTTCAGGGCTCGTGGACAAATAAGTGTAATGTGCAGAAAGTTAAATGTGTTGCAAAGCCAGCATCAAATCATAGTTCTTCTGGCTGGCACGTGGGATCCTGAGTCATTCCAATGTTAAATCAATATTTGTTTTAAGGATAACAAAGACGTGAATCTCTTTATTTAGTTTGTCCACGTTTCAACATATTGTGTATCGTTCTTTAGTTCAGTGTTAATCAATATTTAAAACATAACAAAACATATTTCAAATATAACAAAACTACACTTTTCAATTTAAAGATATACACAATACGTATCTTTTTTTATCCAAAACTGTTAAAGGCTACATATACTAGTTAGCAAAACACACGTCAGGTTTGAAAAGACATCGAAGTGAAATAAAAGTTTAGTCTTTGTGAATTTTATACTTCGTTTTAAGCATGTAAAGGAAAGTTTCGTGCTTTAAAATATGAAAGTTCAAACTCGGAACTACTTAACAGAAAACGGAAACGATGTTTTAGTTCATTTTTGCCATGTTGGTTTCGATTGCTTGTACTTGTTTTAACGAACATAGAAAATAAGATTTTCTTTTCTGTAGTGTTTTGAAACATTGCAGTTATAACATAATATAATTTACTCAACTTGTGGAGAGTTTTGTCTACCTACCCATAAATGTGCTAATTAGATATTTCATGATATTATTATCCCTCCTAATATTATTACTTTGCTTTTCTAGTTATTTTGTAAATTGTTTGGCTTGGAGATTGAATACTCTAGTGTTTATAGATGTGTCACGTTCTATAATGGTTTGGCGATTGAATACTCTTGTGTTGATAAACGTGTCAAGTTCTATAATGGCTTGGAGTTTGAAAACTCTAGTGTTGATAGATGTGTCACGTTCTATAATGGTTTGGCGATTGAATACT